ACTTGCCCGTGGTCCATGGACCAGCGTTCCTAAGTCCACCGTGGACCGTGCCTGTGAACCAAAGCCCGTTAGTGGCCCACTGGGAGCCCAACTGCGCCATGTGGCATCATTCGCAGCACGACACGTGTCCGGGCCAGCCCGGCCCAAATCCAGCCCGGTCCCGGCCCAACCGGCCCAGTTCGGACCCGGTCCATGTTGACCGTTGACCGGTCAACGTTGACCGTTGACTGGGCCCACCTGTCAGTGACCAGTGTCGAGGGCCCACCTGTCAGCCACTGTTACCGCTAGACCAATCCTGTGCTGCCACGTGTCAAGCCCTAGTTCACCCCTTCCTTTTTCTTTTTCAGAAAATAGATTTAACTTTGAAAATTCATAGAAAATTCATACGACCTCAGAAAAATGTGAAACCAGTTCCCACATTTTTATAAAATCAAGCTCTACGTGGTGGACTTGTCCCCACTTGCTGTTCGTGCCGCAAAACTCGAGACCGAGATCTGCCTCTCTTTTAGACTTGCAAATGGCCCCGATGCCTTGGCCGAATACCCTCGTTGCCAACCCTAGCCGTGTCCTACAGCAGCAGCCACCCTCTGGCCACCTGCTGCCATGTCCGGCCAGCAACAGCTAGCCCTTGGCCACCTATAGCACGCTGCAGCTAGCTGTAGCCAGCCACAACGAGCTGTAGCAAGCCACAGCTAGCCACAGTAGGCCGTAGCTGGCCGCAGCTGGCCAGAGACAGCCATAGCCCTCCGGGACAAGTTACAGCGGCCCTTGGGCTTCCACATCTTTGTCACAAAGTCGAATCCTAGTCGAATGCCATTCCCAACACCGACGAAAGCCCCTTCCTACTCATTCTTATACTCGTTCGTACACTTACAATACGTGATCTTGAACTATTTATATCTGTCGGCACCGTGCCGTCGATGTATTGAGTCCATTCCCGACATTCCGGCTGCCTCGTTAAACGAGGGCGAGCTGTTGAGAAACCGTGTGATCCCTAGCATCGTACCGATGACAAGTGGAGTCTTCCGACGTCCCGGTCACCTTGCCTTGTAAGTGCGTACCGTTGAGGAGATATCATGACCCCGTCTACTACGAGCCGTACCCTCTGGACCATGAACCCTAGTTGTATGTCTTATCGAGACCATGGAAAGCCCCATCTCGCATCTTTCCGTATACGCATATCTACCTTGTTGGGTCCTATTCTTACGACCTATCTGCTCATGACTGTCTTACAGGATCTATCCATCACCCAGCTATGGAATGCGCTACTCCACCATTTTTGTCGGGTTGTGTGGTCGTGTCTTATCGCTGTGTTGTTGCCTGTGTGCCGAGCTTCGAGCCGGCTAAGGGATCGTACCTCATTCGGACGTTACGATCATGGGATTCGTCTCGCCATGACCGTGATGCCGAGTGTAACTCGACCCCTCGCTTTTTAGCTGACTTCATAGTACCATGAGTGTTAGCTCCTGTCTTTGGCCCTAGAACATGGTCGTGATGGATTCGATGTCGATACTAACATCGATGCGGATATCACCCGCATGCTTTGAGTCCTCCATGACCAAGTCCTGTGGGAGATGACCTGGGAGATAACAATCATGGAACGATAGATGCCAACTCATTGGTGTAGCTTATGGCCGCGAGTTCACCTCGCCATGACCATGGAGCTACGCCACTCTTTTGCTTGTACTTGCCTCTTCGTGCTCAAACCCCCGTATGCTTGTACCTTGTATGACCATCGCATTTCTTTGATTCCCGCGGTGACAACCGCACCGCTATGAATTAGAGAGGTCTTAGTGCCAGTGCACCTAAGTCAGGAACCCTACGAGTGGTTTGCGCACTTGGTGTTTGTCGCTTCCTTCCAAAGCCCCGTCTTTCATCGTGGCGCGAGTGTTGGAAGAAGTAGACCTTGTCCCTTGTTGTTCTTGCTCTGGTTGCACCGTTAGCCCGCTCTGTTTGATTCTGTCTTGCCCATGATGATTCAAAGACCGGACTATCCCCTTTGGGATAGCGAAGCTATGGTCTATGTCGTACCTCGGACCCGTGCGTGTCGACCCGATCGACCGTCTAAAACCATCTTTCCCGAAGATGTGTCTGAGAACATGACATGGATGTGCCTAGCTAATCCCCGCATCTTTTGCCGTGTTGAGCGACCCTCTTCACGGCTCCTGACGTTATTGTGTCATGTGGATCAAGGGGAACCATTGATGTCCAATCTCTTGCACTACTGCATTCTACCATAGCGGGCGAGCCGAAGTACGTTGGAGCCAAGTCACAATAGTGTTAATCGTTCTTGTATGCTACTCGTGTCCAATTGTGACTTGCGGGATAAGGCTATAAGAGCCGAACCCAGTCGTTCTTCCTTCATTGGGCCCGTCCCTCGATTTCCGTCCTTTCCATGACGCTCGGATCGAAGGACGTGAGTCGTGGTGTTGCTATGGACAAGCTTTGGCTTAAACTATCTATCCTAAAGCCATACTGGCTTGGCCATGACTTAAGCTTGTGCTTAGCAAACCACCAATTGTGATTCTTTGGCCCGAGGAAATCGGACAACCGCCGAGAGGGCTAAGCCGTGTATCTCTTATTGTCTCGATGGCGTTATTGGATTTCCTGTGTCTCGTCGTCTTTTCGAGTGTTGAGTACTCTCTTGCCTTGTGTGTCGCTTCATGGAGTAGCTGATGATCGGACCAAGAGAACGTGGACGACGACAAGGACTGCGGAATGGAGTCAACACAGGAGGAGGAGACCCCGCTAATGGAACGCCAATGAATGGAGAATTGTACCACTACTACCTCTACATCGCAGGTGTCATGGCAGCACCCTCTTTTAGAGAATCCTATTAAACATTGCATAATATCTAGAACTGCTAGCGCTTTATAAATTATTCCTTTGCTAGTACTTTGATGCATGCTACTACCTGAGCCATTATTACCCTAATGCAACCCACTCTTCCACGTCACCCTGCCTTGCGCATTCGCTCGCTTATATATGCTTACTTGCCTGCTTGCTTGCATATTACACCACTATACTTATTATTAACTCCACTTTGCATTATGTCGGGGATGTGATGCTGGTGGTGAACCCCTTGGGAATGGTTTGGCTATGGGTGCCGGACTTGGTGGTGTGTGAGCGTGCTGCGTGTGTCTTGGGTGCGTGGAGAGTGAGGGTTGTGTCGATCGAGCAGGAATAACGATGAGCCTGGGGCGAGTCTTGCCATGTGGTGCTACCTGGGCACTTGGATATGGAATACCTGTGGCGGGTAAATGGTAATTGGAGATGGCCTTGGGTGTGAACCTATGATGGGAGGAGCCCAGGGTGGAGGTGCTGTGGTGGCACGTAAAATGGAAACCCTGATGAAGATATTCTGGCTTGGTCAATCCCTAAGGACTTACTAGTACTCAGATTCACCAGGAATCATTTACATCCCACTCGCCCTATATGGTGCGAGACAGTCGGACTACTTGGTAGAGCGATGCCACTACTGCTAGGCGAACGTGTGCAAGGAGGTACGGGGCGCGCGGTTTTCCCCCACACCCTTCCGAGACTTCAGAAGGCCTTGTGGACCCGGCTCTTGACATCCGGAGGGCCCCGGCTCTGTCTACGACTCACAGTATCAGCCATCCCAGACTAGACTTGGGATGTTCCAGGGCTGAGAGGTAGGGTGGCATCGTTCTAGGCTAGCAAGCGACCGGAATCTACTTAGACGGGGCACCATCGAGGATGGCTATCCTGTGGGTATGTGAAACCTCTGCAGAGTGTATGGTTGATCGATCGATACATATGCCGACTTGTCGGCTATGGACCTTTTCTGGGTTTCGCTTAAACTAGATAGGAGATGAGTCCTTCTTTTCTCCCTCCAGGGTTGGGGTATTTTCCAGTCGTGAGCCTTGGGGGCTGCGGGCCGTTGAGACAAGGCCGAGAGGGAGTCGGCCTGTCGACCTGAGTGTGTGAGATGAGATAAGGTGTGGTGGTGTGGAGATAGTTTGGGATGGATGGTTGGTGGATGGATATGGATGGCGTGGTGGTGAATGTGTTAAAAATTGAATATTATTACTATATTACTAATGTTATTTACTTCTCGTGCGTTAAGGATGCAAACCACAGCTAAATATTAGGATCGCCAGATCCCTTGCTTATCTTTTCCACTAAAGCTCATCGGTGCTAAGCATGACCTGCACACATCTGACGGTGCGCAGATTTCCTGCTTCTCAGAGATGCTGACTTTAGAAGGATTGGAAGGTCTCGTGCCTACGCTCAAGTTTGGTTCGGAGATGAAATCTACACTACACTACGCTAACTCTGATGAGGTCCGTGAAGAAGCCTTCACTCGATAGTCTTCCGCTAGATTAACTCTGTACTTGTACTAGGTGTGTTCCTCAGTGATGTAATATCTTGTATTCTTGTAATCTTACGATGTATGACTGTAACATCGACTGAAATATAATAATATGATATAATCAGTTCTTAGTTTTATCATATTAAAATTCATTCTGTGAATTTTCCCTTGAAGAAAAATTGAGGATGTTTCAATATCTATGTTTCCCGTTAGAATGATTGTTACTATTACCACCATACGATACATGTGCCTGCTAATTCTCTCTGATGAGAACCAAGGCATGGCAAGTGGTATGAAAAAACCATATGATGCCACTGGAAATAGAAACCACTGTTAATAGAAAAGGCTAAAATAGGCATGCGATACACGAGGATACATATGGCTTCGAATATATTACATGAAAAAGATGACCAGGCGCCCGCTGCAGATCGCACATACCATTCTAGTTCAAAGGTCATCTACCAGTAAAATTGCAAATTAACACGGCCATTGACATCACCATCAGCACAAATATGAAAACAACCCATAGACAATTCTCAAGACTGGTGAATTGTATGTGCAGTTCAGGCAGTGATCAAAGTGACAAAGCACTTGCAAACAATACTCAGGTACAATATGAGACAGCCAAAATTTTCACTCAGCCAATCACAGAAGATGACACCCTTCTCTAAGCCTTCCTGGTTGCGATCTGGGACTCAGCCTGAAGAAGAAACCATTGACCAAAATAGCACAACAACATTAATCCCTTGCTTGGAATCGAATAAAATCAGGCACAGAGTATACAACCACATACCTCTTTCTTCACGGGCTCTTCCTTCTCCGACAAGATGAGCTCGATGTGGCACGGGGAGGACATGTAAGCTGCACCAGGTAGGTAAACAGGATGTTACACAGCAAATAAAGAACCGTTCATAGCATATAGCAAACTTAAACATCAGATAGACTTACGGTTGATGCGTCCATGAGCGCGGTAGGTCCTGCGCCGCTGCTTCTGAGCCTGGTTCACTTGAATGTGCGACACATAGAGGGTATCCACATCAAGACCTTTTACCTGCAGCGCAGAAATTCACATAATTAGCATAATACTATGAAAGCAAAGATAGGTCTGACAGAGCACAGTAGAATTGTAGACCTCAGCATTGCTCTCTGCATTCTTGAGAAGGTCTAGAATGAATCTAGCAGACTTGACAGGCCAGCGTCCCTGCCCATTTGAGTGGCGAGACTTAGCCTGAGCAGTACGCCCAACACCACCACAATACCTGCGGAACGGGATGGCCTGCTTGTGGGCAATCACATCCTCAAGGTACCTCTTGGCCTTGGTGAGTGACAACTTCCTGAGGGCAAAAGCTGTTTCACGGGTGTTCTGCAAGTATGACAGGAGCATTAACAAACACCAAAATATGCCCACATCGTATCCAAGAACCAATAACGTCAGCAAGTGAACAATATTGGGAGACATCATTATGGATGAAAACATAAATTATCACAACCATTATCACACCCTAGCTAAGAAATATGTGAAAAAACAAATGTGCCATCATTTACTGAACCAATTGACATGGAGTTGTCCAACACATGGACAGGACCAGCAGTTCACCCAATAACAATGATCATGGTGTTCCTAAAGTTTACGGGGATACTGCTAGTATATAGCACAGCATCCTGCTTTTTTCTTTAGGGTATTCAACTACAGAGACAAATACTACAACCAGGAATGTCACCTGCAAAACGTAGAGCACTGTGCAGCTGCGCTTAATGATATTATCAACGAGAAAATTTCAACAAAGGAAGTCTAATTTTCTTTTAGCACACAAACACAACCATTTACTTCAACATCTGACAGTTCATTTGGCAGCATATATCCCACAGAAGTGGGAAAATGCATGCCATTCAACCAGAGCAGCTTGCACGGCAGCAACAAAGAATTCACCAAATAAACAAACAGGACAAAATGGCATCATTTACTAATCTAATTGGAGCCAAGTTGCAACACCTGGTCCACCTAATAACAACAAAGCTGGCATTCTAAAGGTTTACCAGTATATGTAAGCACATTCTTTTGGCACCTGATGCCTTAAGCTGCCGCAATCACAGAGATTCACTAAAAGAAGAAACACAAGTAGACATCACTTACTAATCTAATTGGAATCAAGTTGTGAAACCTGGTCCACCTAATAACAATGAAGCTGGCATTCTTACCAGGATATGTATGCACATTCTTTTGCCACCTGGTGCCTTAATCAAATAAGCTGCTGATCAAAGTATCACACCCTAGCTAAGAAATATGTGAATAAACAAATGTGCCATCATTTACTGAACCAATTGACACGGAGATGTCCAACACATGGACATGACCAACGGTTCACCCAATAACGATGATCATGGTGTTCCTAAAGTTTACGGGGATACTACTAGTATATAGCACAGCATCCTGCTTTTATCTTTAGGGTATTCAACTACAGAGACCAACATTACAAACAAGAATGTCACCCACAAACAGTAGAGCACTGTGCCATATTGTGTGCCATCATAGACACAGAAATTATCACAACCATAATCACACCATAGCTAAGAAATATGTGAAAAAAAACAAATGTGCCATCATTTACTGAACCAATTGACATGGAGTTGTCCAACACATGGACATGACCAGTGGTTCACCCAATAACGATGATCATGGTGTTCCTAAAGTTTCCGGGGATACTGCCAGTATATAGCACAGCATCCTGCTTTTTTCTTTAGGGTATTCAACTACAGAGACCAACATTACAAACAGGAATGCCACCCACAAACAGTAGAGCACTGTGCAACTGCACTTAATGGAGTTATCAATAAGAAAATTTCAATAAAGAAAGTCTAATTTTTCTTTAGCACACAAACATAACCATTTACTTCAACATCAGACAGTTCATTTGGAAGCATATATACCACAAAAGCGGTAAAATGCATGCCATTCAACCACAGAGCAGCTTGCACGGCAGCAACAGGACAAAATGGCATCATTTACTAATCTAATTGGAACCAAGTTACGACGCCTGGTCCACCCAATAACAACAAAGCTGGCATTCTAAAGGTTTACCAGTGTATGTAAGCACATTCTTTTGGCGCCTGGTGCCTTAAGCTGCCACTTACAGAGATTCACTAAAATAAGAAACTCAAGTATACATCAGTTACTAATCTAATTGGAATCAAGTTGTGAAACCTGGTCCACCCAATAACAAAGAAGCTGGCATTCTAAAGGTTTACCGGGATATGTAAGCACATTCTTTTGGCGCCTGGTGCCTTAACCAAATAAGCTGCCGCAATTACAGAGATCACTAAAAGAAGAAATTTAACTAGATGGAAATTCTACGAGGGCTTTGGAAATACAGCATTAGTCAGGTGAATTCACAGCACCGTGCTTCCAAAAGCATTTACATATCATACTAAGACAAAGAAGACAACTGCAAACAGCATTACGGAAAGGAACAATAACAATAAAAAAAGGTGGGATATGATCGGTGATACCGGTGAGTTGAACGGCATACACTACTTGAACAGTAAAGGGAAACTTTCTACTATACCTAGGCTATAACCGAACGCAGCACAAAAATAAAACAAACAAATCATGAGATCTCTTGAAACAGGATCTCGGTCGGGAGGCAGGTAGGGGGATCTCTCACCTTGAAGTGAACACGGAGGTCACGGCCCATGGCCTTGGTGGCTGCAACGAATAAAAGAGAACCACACGCGAATCAGAAAACCCGCAGATGCACAAATGGACATGGAAATCCTCGGTAAAGAAGCTTACACTTGGTGGGGTTGGTCGGCTCCCTCGAGTACTTCACCTGGAACCACAAACAAGAGCCGTCGCACGTCAGGAGTTGGTAAGGGCGAGGCCAAATGCATGGCTGCAGCGCAGCGAAGATGCGACAAGCGCGAGAGTAAGGACGAGGGAGATCTCACCATGGCTGCAACCGGCGAGCTGGAGGGCTCGAGGCGGAGTTGAGATGCTCCTGCGGCGGCGGCGCGAGCGGGTGGAAATGGAAGCGACGGCGGCAGGAGCGTGAGAGACTGTGTATATGAAGCACGGCAACTACGAGGGGAAACCCTAACGGCTTCGTTATGGGCCGAGCCGCCCGCGCGGCCACTATAGGCCCACATTAGTCGTCAAGTTCACGTTCGTCAAGTTTACCCGGACAACGCCGAATCGTAAAAAAAAAAAAAAAAAAAAGGCGCGACGCCAGGAAAAACAAGACCAAATTCCGTTAATGCCATCAGATATTTTAACTCTTCCTTCACTGCCATCGAAATTTCACAACTTTTTTCTTTTTTTTCTCAAATACACAAAAGATTTGTGTATCATTGTAATTAAGAAGAAGAGTTTAATCATACAAACGACGCGCTTTTGACGAGCGCCCTCGGAGGTCTTACAGCCGTCTAGCAAACAACTCCCAGCTTTGATAACATAAAAGGTCTACAACCGAGCTAAGAGCAGCGCAGCAATCTATGAAGCTGGGCGTCTCCGCTGCCGGCTGCGTGATCCTACACCTGCGTCCGAGAAGAGCTTTCTACCAGCCCTGGTGTTGGTCGCGGGAAATAACTCGTCCAGAGCTTCAACTTGGCTCGACGTCAAGTTCCCTACGAAAATAGCGTCGTATGCTCCCTTGGACGTGGAAGAAACCAGTGCCGCCGGTGGTGCGATGTCCATCCTCTTCATGAGAAGTCCCTCACCCCGCTTGAAGGTCGGTATGTGCGACAATGGCTGAGCAGCAATCCGCCTGCTCCTGATTGGCAGGAGGCGCTTTGTTACCATCTTCTGCTTTGGAGGACTGGCGATCAATGGCGACTTTCTCTTACACTGCACCTCCTCGGTGAACCTTGCGAGACGCCGAGCAGCCTCACGTGGCGTGGGCGTCGAGCAGCCTCATGTGGCGTCGACATCGAGTTGTCCCACCTGAGGCAACATGAGCTATGGCAGCTCCTGCACCAACGACAACTGAGGCGAGTGAGTAGCCGTTGACAGAGAACAAGTATCCATCAACGATTCCTCAATCCCTAGAGAGGTAGCCTCTAGAGTAGGTTGGCACCCGGGCACTGGGTCACTCGTTGGTCGGTTCACGACGAGCGAGGCGACGAGCTCCTCTAGCATTAGGTCGACTGAGATGACCCATGTGGGAGGCCCCACGCTCGCGCACAAAGCCAATGCCAGCTGATCTACCTTAGGAAAGTAGAGTGCGGCAGCAGAAGTAGCTACGCTGTCGACGTGGTCGGTAGGCGCACCCGTACTGACGTCCTTTGTCTTAGTCCAGCGTTGTTGGCGTCGACGTCGGCGTCTCTCACTAGCGCCCCCCACAGCCCTCGGTGCGGCACCCTCTGCGCCGTCGTGCGGCGCGTGCTGAGAGGCTAGGGTCGTCTCGAGCAGAGTGCCATGGCAGGTTGGCACCCTTTGCTGCCGAGGTCGAAGCATGCATAGGCTGCCTGTAGTCCTTGGTGAGCTGTCCAAAGCCGCGACAGCGCAGACAACGCCGTGGCAACCGGCAAGTCGCTACTCGGTGCGAGTAGAAGAGACAGTTAAAACATCTATCACGGAGCTGTGCAGGGATCTTCTGAGCCTATACACGCAGACCTAGGTCACAGCGAGGCTAAACCGATGCGGCCGTAGGTCCTGTCTCTTGTCAGGGGAGGATCTCACGCCACCCATTGGTGTTGGGGGCGGAGACCCGTCCACGACGGCCGAGGCGTTGGCGAGCAGGGACACGGCCTTCCACTGGCCGACGAGGCAGGTCGTACACCAGCTATTTTCACGACTGGTTGCGCTTCCTCTGTCTTTGCTAATGGCCAGTGCTCGCTCTAGCTTGCTTTCGCTTATGGCTGTGTCAACCTTCGATCGCTCTAGAGCAGCCCGTACCCTTGGCTGGGCGAGGCAGGGGTTTTGTCGAACGCCGAACAACATCCAAGTAGGTCGCTGCATGCTGGTCGTCATCAGAATCCTCGTCGTTGGCATCGTCCGCCCAATGACGGCACTTAGAGCGTCCTCTCAGTGAGCCGCTTGGGTAGAATGGCGACGTGGCCAGCGAGAGGGAGGGGTTGGCTAAAGATGTTGCGGCAGCCTACTGAGAGCCCACAGACCCAAAAGGATCGGTCTTGGACCTCGACGGCGCGGAAGCCCCAACACCGGTGAGGATGAATCCACCCACATAGGATCCATCTCCCTCCGTCGCTTGCAGTGGGTGTGGTGGCTGTGCAGCGGGCTTGTTGCCTCCGGCGTCCTCTCAAGCGTAGCTTCCATCTCTAGTGACTCCATCGGTAGAGTTGGCTTCTCTAGCGATGATGTGAGGCAGGGGATGAACGGGCGGGGTGGAGGAAGGCGGGGAATGGGAGGGAAATGTGCTCGCCGGTAGCGGGGCGGCTACCGGCGCCCGCAGCAGGGTGAGGGAGGCGGCAGCCACGGGTGACCCCTTAGGGCTAGGGCTAGGGCCTGGCGGCGGCTGCAAATCCGGTGGACATGGATGCTGGGGAGGTGCTCGCGGGGGTGGAAGGAGAAAGGGGAGTGGAGGAAGTAGCTCGTGAAGGGGAGGGAGGTGCGGGCACTGACGCCGAGGAGGCAGCCGGCGCTAGTGCCGGCGGGGAGGGGGTGTGGGCTAGGGGCGGGAGGAGTCGCGTCGACGTATGCCCTATTCTGCTAGATCGTTTCCAACAGTGTGTTGCTGTGAAGCTTCCACTTATTAGGATTTCTTCACAACTTTTCTCACTGACATCAGGTAAAATTTATGTTTCCCTCGTTCCATGCACTGCTCACCTACATCCTAGTCACTTGCACTGCTCACTCCCTCATCGTCCGTACATCGCCCATCGCCGTTAGACGCACAACTGACCCCACCATGCCCGATAGAGTGCATGTGTCATGGCGCCCGGGAAGTCAAGGGCACCAACGAGTGCTCACGCGCCTTCGGATCTCACCCCGACGACCGGAATCGATCAGCCCCTGTCTTTCCCCTATGTTGCAAATATATGTTTATGTGTTTAAGATGTTTCAGAGGTATGTTGCAATTGTTACATATGAATGCCGTTGTTAAAGTAGATTGGGATGTTGCACGTGTTGCATATTTTTACAAGTGTTTTCAGTGGTATGCTATAAGCGTTTTGAAAAAATGTTCATCTGTTTCAGACGTTTGTTGGAGCAAGTGTTTTATCTGGATATTGTATTAGTTTCACACACATGTTGCAAGTGTTTTGTCTGGATGTTGCATATGTTTCGCACACATGTTGCAAGTGTTTTATCTTGATGTTCCATATGTTTCACATATATGTTGCAACAATAGGTTTCAAATGTTTCATCTGTGTCCGATGTATGTAGGATCCTAGTGTTTCATGTTACAAGTATTTTATGTTGGCATGGTGAGTGATAGGCACACGGCCCGAGCGCTAGGGAATGGGGCACGACAGAGCTGTGGACCTGCGGACGGGGGCGCAATGAGCTGCGGGCCGACTCCTGGGTCCCACCCATGTGGAGAGAAAGAAGGGGGTCAAGGGAAAGGAGCGTGGCAAGCAGGGGACAAGGTGCGCGTGCGAAGCGAGGGCAGGCTGCGTGGCCATCCATCCGGACACGAGGAGTGGCGGGCGTTGTGTCGAGGGCGGGGTGCATGTGTGAGTCGGAGCGAGGTGGATGGAGACAGCCTGCATAGATGTTGTGATGCTCACGTTCGTTCGGACGTCCGGGCGTTAGCTACGGCGATATATAGTATTATGCATGGAGCGGCCAGGATCGCGGCATCATGCTGAGGGGTCCTACGTATGCGTGTGCAGTGCATACCCAAAAGTGCACAGATGGTAGCCCAGTGCTGCGAGAGGACAACGAGTTGCACGCCTCTACCACAATAGGTCATGTTTCCACGTGGCAATTTCATGAAGTTACCAACTCAACATCTCCCCTTGCTCTCTTATATCGAATCATGAAGTTCTTTGAACCAGATCGAACGGGTGCATGGATTGAGGAAGAACAGGAACCGACAGTGCACCACATCATCAGCAAGCACTTTTAATTATGATGAGTTTTGAAACTTAGGGAAAATATGATGGTAATGTGTGCCTCACATATTTGACCAGGTTACAAAAAAGTTCACTCCCGTGCAGCTGGCACACTGTTGAGACTAGCGGTCTCAGATAGCGTGGAGACAGAGGCCTCCGCCTGCCGAGCATCGCCCTCGGGTGAAGGCTCGGGATAGGCACGACAGGTGGGCGTGTAAGAAATTGGCACGGAAAGCTAAGGTTTCATTAAGGCCCTGTTTGGTTGGGCTTTTGGCTTTGGCTTTTGTCCCCAAAAGCCAAAAGCCCAACCAAAGGGGCTACTTTTGGAGGGTGCTTTTTCAGAAGCAGCTGCTTTTCCGTAGTTCATTTTTGAAAGCTGGGTTGACCCTGCTTTTGGCTTTTGGCTTTCTGCTTTTCGAAATTGGTGGAATAAAAAGCTCTTCCATAGTTGTTTCAAGAGAGATAAAGATAAAAGGTATATTTTATACTTGTTTAACCAAATAGCTTTCAGCTTTTCTACAGCTCACAGCCCACAGTAGCTTTTCCACAGCTCACAGCCCACAGCAGCTTTTTCCCACAGCCACAGCTCAACCAAACAGGGCCTAATTCATCCACCACCCCCCTGCACCGTTACAAGTGTTCCCTATTTATAGGGCTCAACTACTTCTTGACATAATTTATTACAATGCCCCTCAACTGCTACAGTACATTCCTAGAATATTCTGCCACTAGTCTCTTGTTTGCGGGGCAATCCTACCACACCGTCTTCAAGCAATGGGCCTCCATAAGCGACCGGCCCACCGTGCCTCGGTCTTCGGCCCAGAGGCCTGGGTTCCCGACGCTGGCCTCCGTCTTCAGGGGCGCGCCGCTGCCTACGTGGGTCTCCGTCAGTCTGGTCGGAGACATCATCTGTAGGTCTCCGCCCGGCCGCGAGGGGG